TGTGTGTGTGTGTGTGTGTGTGTGTTTGTGTTTGTGTATGTCCCCTCTGACTGAGAGACAAGAGCAGACAAGTTCAATCATCCATTGACACGTCGCAGACCCACACTCAGGGGACCAGACCAGATTTTGTAAGAGTAGCCGAGTCGTGATGTTGTGCAGAGACTGTACAAGTTTCAACACGCAGCTGCCAATTAACTCCTGGCCTGTGGTGGTTTGTTGCTCTGTAGCCGACCTGAGTGGAGACTAATGAACTGATTGGTATTTACAGGAGGACAGAGAGCAAGAATAGATATGAAAGATATGAAACTATGGGATGTTTTATTTGAATATATTTGATATTTTGTGCATTTTTCATTCAGTGTCCAGGTTGAGCTCAAAGAGTGGGACAAAACTGGTAGAACAATTTTTTTAACTTTATGTTTAAAACCATTAATAAGATAAAAAAAATGCTTTGCTCTTTGTTAAAATTCACTAAAATGAACCAAATCCTACTTTTCTGTTTCAAATTAAATAAAGTTACCTTCCTCTCAGCTTCTCATTGTATTCCAGTGTCCTCCTCTTCACTGTTGAATCTGCTGTGACGTAACCTTGTCTCCCCTGGGAGCAGAGGAGACACCTGTCACACTTTGCTCTGCCACAGTGAGAGAGCCGGCTCGTTTCACTGTGTCAGACGTGGCATGGAAATCAAACGCTTTCTGCTCGGATTTTGTGCCTTTTTCTACATTTCCAGGTCTGTTTCTGCACAATCCACGTGCAAGCTGAAGGCCAAGTTCAACCTGAGCGGTTACAAAAATGTGGAGAAGAAGAAGGTGGTCATCGGGGGGATGTTTCCTGTCCACAAGCGCATCGCCTCCACCGACGGCAACACTTCCAGAGTGCCCATCTCCTCGGGTTGTGAGGGGTGAGTTGAGCCGTCTCCGACCTCTGTGTTTTTAACCTTTACCTTTAGCTGTTGTTAGAATGTAAATATAAATTTATTGTCCTATTCACGTTTAAATATTCGATATTAAAGCTTTTAATTATGTGTTTCATCAACACAACGTACTCCTGAGATATCTTAACATCACGATTTTACAAAAACTCAAGACAGAGCAGGGCAGCACCTGTGGGACCAATTAGCTACAGTAGCCTATATCATTATTATTATGTAGACAGGCCTCTAATGTGACATATGCAACAACAAGCAGCATCAGAGTCTGTGAACTTTCCGTGCTGAAAACATCAGTATTTTATTTTTGCACATACTGAACATGAATCTGAGTTTTTCTTTCTTACTAAATACGAACATTGGAGGAAAAGACATAAAACAGGAAACTAAAATTTATCCCTTTTTGTTTATAATCCTCCAGGTTTAACTTTCGCACCTTCCGCTGGACACAGACCATGTTGTTCGCCATCAATGAAATAAACAAGAAGAAAGACCTGCTGCCCAACACAGACTTGGGTTACGTCATCTACGACTCTTGCTTCACCATCTCCAAGGCCGTGGAGGGCACCCTCACCTACCTGACGGGCCAGGACGAGGCCGTGCCCAACTACCGCTGCGGGAACGGGGCGCCCCTGGCCGCTCTGGTGGGCGCCGGTGGCTCCGATCTGTCCATCGCCACAGCCAGGATACTGGGACTTTATCACTTCCCACAGGTGAGACAGCAGTGAGAGGAACAGAAGTAAAGACAAGGAGATGTGAAGAGAATGAGACGTGCTCATCCTCTCTCTCTTTCTCTCTATCTGTAGGTCAGCTATTGTTCGTCGTGCTCTGCCCTGGAGAGCAAGTTCCAGTTCCCCACCTTCCTGAGGACCATCCCCAATGACAAGCACCAGTCCACAGCTATGGCCCAGCTGGTGCTGCACTTCGGCTGGACCTGGGTGGGCACCATCGCTGCAGATGATGACTACGGCAAGTACGGTATCAAAGAGTTCAAGGAGCAGGTGGAGGAAGCTGGTGTCTGCATCTCCTTCTCTGAGACACTGCCCAAGGTAATGACTTCCTCTGTAGCTGTTAGTATTTCATCAAATGAATCAATGTAATTTCCTGTTCATATTCCTGTTACTTCAGGTGAGCTCCCAGGAGGACATCCAGCGTATTGTTGACACTGTCGTTGAGTCCACAGCCAAGATCATTGTGGTCTTCTCATCAGACGTAGACCTGAGTCCTCTCATCCTTGAGCTGCTCCGCCACAATGTCACCAACCGCACCTGGATCGCCAGCGAGGCCTGGGTCACCTCCGCTCTCATCAACCAGCCTGGGGTCAGGGATCAGTCGAGGGGGGATGAGGGATTGAAGTGTGTCTTCACTGTTTGAGCTGATGTTGATAATGTGCATGTTCTTCTGCAGGTGAGCTCAGTGCTGGGCGGCGCTCTGGGCTTTGGTTTGAAGAGGGCTGACATCCCTGATCTTCTGCGCCATCTACTGGACCTAGACCCCTACGCTGACCCACTCACTGAGGAATTCTGGGAGACGGTGTGGTTTTTTTTTACAGACTTTTTAATTGACTTGAGGAGCTTGAATTGAAACTGTACAGAAGCATGTGTTTCTTAAGATGCCAACAGATCATTGTTGTCTTGCAGCTGTTTAACTGCACACTGGACTATGACAAAGCTCTGAGACGGGTTAAACAGAAGGCTAAAGAAGTTAACGGCACCCTTTCCAGGGCAGTGAGGGGGGCTCCTGTCGGGCTGTGCACAGGGAGCGAGTCTCTGGCTCAGCTCAATAACACCTACTCTGATGTCTCCCAGCTACGAATCACCTACAGGTCAGTTCTCTCCATTAAAACTCACTAACTGATGTCAGCAATGTGATGAGGATTATAGACGTCTTCCTCTGACACTAGTGTCTCCAATGCAGTGAATGTAAAATTAAATTTTATTTGTCAGAAACAAATCACCTTTAGAGACATTGTCCCAGATTTGAATAATTGTTTTCATTGCGACTATTTTTTTGATACAAAGTAGTTCTACAGTAATTATTGTTGAAAAATACACGTTGGTGTTGCTTTAAGAACCACAAACAAAAAATGGGCTTGAGTGACAGAAACATGAAATAGAACAAGTGTGTTTTTCTTTGATAATTATGATGATGATGATGATGATGATAAAGATTGTGGTGATGATGATGATGATGAAGATGATGATGATGATGGAACCTCTCCTCAGTGTATACAAAGCCGTGTATGCTGTGGCACACGCTCTGCACAACCTGGAGCACTGTGTAGATGGACAGGGACCGTTCAGTGGGAGCAGCTGTGCTGACATCACCAACTTTGAGCCATGGCAGGTACACGTGTGTGTGTGTGTGTGAGTGTGTGTGTGTGTGTGTGTGTGTGTGTGTGTGTGTGTGTGTCATTTCATGCTCCCCTTCCAAACATGAAAGAGAACCTGTGGTAAACTTCAGGAAGAGACCCTGCTCCTTTCTACCATGACATGCTGTTACACATCTCACAGTTTGTGTAAAAAAAGTTCAGTCATGATAAAGTGATAAAAACAAACAAGTTGTTCTGTCTCTGTCATCGTAGCTGATGTATTACCTGAAGAACGTGCGTTTCAAGGTCCCGAACACGGACGAAGAGATCTACTTTGAGGAGGGGGATGTGGAGGGTTTCTATGACATCATCAACTGGCAGGTGAACAGTCAAGGGGAGATATCGTACATCACCGTGGGACGCTACAATGGCTCGGCAGCTCCGAGGGACAGGATGACCATAACCAATGGCTCCATTCTGTGGAACAATGAAGTGCTGGAGGTCAGGAGCTTATCAAGACAGCAAATAATGACTAAGTCTGTTCTCTCTTTAACTGAGTCTTTGTATACATGTATTAAGGCATAGTTCTGTCTATAAACGTGTGTGTGTGTGTGTGTGTGTGTGTGTGTGTGTGTGTGTGTGTGTCTGTCTCTCTCTGTTGCAGCCTCCTCGGTCAGTGTGCAGTGAGAACTGTCAGCCCGGCACCAGGAAAGGG